CACTCCTACCAGTCTGCCCTTCACCTTCTACTCACTTTCCCATTCATAATCATGAGTTAAATCTGGATTCAAGGACATTTAGATTGCCTCAGCACAAATTTTGCACTTGTATTTTGGGGGACAGCCACTATGCTTAAAGATTCATAAAACTAATATTCTTTGTCTTCAAAATGAATCTGGTTTCTGTTGAGAGTTTCTATTGAGAGCTGTAAATGCATACCCAAGAGGCAGCGCAACTTTTATATTCCAGTGACAGAAAATAGGTATTTATAAGAATTGAATGAAAATATTCTGTGGCTCCAGCTTGGAGACTCAGTAATCCATTTATTTACCATATTTTATGTGTTCTCCAAAGGGTATCTTGACTTTCACTTGTCTCCTTTTCTACTTAAATAAGAGTTTTCAATTAAATAGAGTTGTGGTAACACTAATCTGAATCTACCTAATGCTGATACCATTGTGTTTTTCTGTTGTTCAGGCGCCAGTATTAGTGGAGTGAGCAGTGTCTAGGGACATTACACCTAACTTGATAATGATGGTTTTACTAAGCCCTTGTCCTGGCCAGGCCTCTGGGCATTATACAGATAATTAAAATTTGATCACAAAAAAATTTAAACACAATGCACCTTAGCAATAAAATTTTTCTACTTTTAAACATGATTTTAAAACCCATTTTACAAATACATTTCCTTGGCCTAGTGAATTTGCTTTCTTTTTTTCCCAAGGATTACAGAGAGTGCATAGCAAATTCAGCCTTCAGAATGCCCAGGAGCTGAGGACTCAAGTAGGCTACAGCTGTCTTCACCCACTGTATTCTAAAAGAGCTAATGAGATGAGAAGTCTGCAGCTGGTGGCAAGCACAGTAAACCGTGAGCCAAGGGCTTCTCTTCATCAGAGCCGCCCTTTCCCCATGGGATCCCAAAGGAGACAGAATACTAACAAAGCCAGCAGGCTGTCTCATTCCACACTATTGCTCATTTGCAGCTATAATTGGTAGCTGAGGTTGCATTCTCTATGCTGAAACTGTCATACATGAAGGAATATATTTGTTCATTGTGATACGGATATAAATCGGCCAGTTTTCAAATCCAGAAAGACCAAGCTAGATACCCAACAATAAAACTGCAGCAAAGAAGATACCATTTAATAAATTAAATGTTTGTTACGAAAATACGAAACTGAGGTTGCTAAAACTAAACCTGCTTCCTGCTTTTAAATATCTTGCTACTTAATTCAACTGATTAAACATTTACATATTCAAACTAACAAAAAAGCCCAAAAATTTCTAGGTTTTGACAAGATGCATTATTCTCATCTGTCAAGGTTAAGGTGCTATTGTTAATAATTGGGTTCTGTTACATTTTCAGTATATCTTTAATGTTTGCCGCTTTATATTCAAGAGAAAAAAGCAGAGAGGGAAGAACACTTAGCTTTTGAGATATGTGTATATGTAATATTTTATATGCATACACTCATTTCTTATAGGAAAATCCACTTTGGTTTCTGGTGCTGCTTTTTGGTGTTTTTGAAACGTGTTTTTGCTTATCTGGCATTTGTAGACACCCTTCTGCCCCTCCCCTGTGTCGTGTACCAGAGTGAGCCCAGAACAGAGGCAAGAAGCCTTGTGTTGGAGTCCTCAGTGAGCCATATCACCTCCTTCTCAGACTGTAGTGTCCTCATCTGTAAAGTGAGGCGGCGTGGATGGTCTTCCAGGTTTACTTCACCTGTATAATTCTGTGAATCCATAGTTCAGAAAAGCATCCAGTGAACAACTAGCACTAATAGTGAAGGCTTAGAAATACACTTTGTGAAACGGTATTGGTTAGGTCCAGAGTGAAGTTTTAAAGTGTTATTTCATGTTCTTCGGTTAATTATGCCAGATAGGTATGGAAAATCTGAAGTTGTCGCCCTCATGTGGAGCTGGGTTTAGGAAGGAGAGGGGTGTTGTCAGAGAAGTCCATGTAATCCATCCACTCACATTTTCACCTTCACTGGTGCCGTAATCATGCTTAGTCCCATCTCCTGGGGCAAGTCACCTTCTGAATTCATTTTCTCCTACATGAAAGTAATTTATGCTGGCCACAATTTAGACTAAGTTCGCTTTTCTTAAATCAGTTGTTTCTTGGTTTGTGTACTACCCTTATTGTATTCATTCCATCAGTGTTTTTTTTCTCCCATTAGCCCTACTGATATTTGTGTACACTTTGTGTTGTTGATTTTGTGGTTTTTGCCTCTGTTGGAGTGAGCAAGTTTCGAAGCCACAGAGGTAGTTCTGCAGTCTCTGGTTCATCAATTCTAAGATTCTTGCTCTTTGATTTTCCCCTCATATTTTATTCAAAATCAGAATTTGTCTTTCAGTTATAGCATGTTTTATTGGCTGAATGTTTTCCTTCTTAATGGTACATAAAATAATGGAGCATCCTCTCTTAGATTTAGGAAATGTGGTGTTGTTCAACTCACATGAGGCTCTATAACATTTTAGATTTTGAAAGACAAAAAAATGTGAGCATTGTGCCCACAGCGAGGTCACACTCAGTAAAATACAAAAAGGAAAGTATTTTCCCTCAAATGTGATGAAATACTAGCCAAACATCTGGGCATTGTACAGGTAATTAAAATTTAATCATAAATAATTTTAACACACTGCACCTTAGCAATAAGATTTTTCTACTTTTGAACATGATATTAAAACTCACTTTAAAAATACATTTCCTTGGCTGGTATCGGTTGGTTTCAATTCTCCATTTTTAGTCAACTCTCCATTTTTTCTTGGCAATTAACAGTTACTCCCTGGGCTTTCAGTTATGTTTATTTGTCTCTCTTTCTCCCAGCTAGACTGACTTTTCTAGGACCCAGGACCAGATGTTGGTTCTCCTTACCCCTTGAACTACCTCTTAGCATCCTGTGCACTACCTTCTTCTACATGGTGGCTGATGAATAAATAGACCTTGATTGAGGGAGATGATGTCACAAGTGACTTATGATATGATGTTAAATGTTTTCAGTTTTGGAGAAAAGTGCGCTGGTCTCTGGGTTTTAATTCCAACCCTCTGAGATAGAAGAAAATGTTTTCTGGAGTCCATGATTATTTGTTAGCACGATGGCCGGTTTCTCACTGAACCCCGGGCTTGAGAGACCACTCCTGGGCAGTTGATTCTTTTCTCAGTCAGCAGTGAAGTTGTTAATTTTGAGGGTGTGGTTCTAAATAGGAGTTTTAGAATTCATTTTAGCCGACAGTAATTGATCCTTCTGCTGATGCGCCCAGACACTTGAAGTAACCCCAGTTGTCCGACCCCTTGCAGTCGGCTCATCCCTGTTTGTCATTCCTGGGTAACACTGACTGACCTAGCGCCTGTGGCTACACCACACTGCATATTCTAAACAGTAAGACCCTGTGTGGCCTGCTAAGTTTGCTTGTGTGGTAATTTTAGCCCATTGTTGGGCCTTTTTATAGCTTCTTACACAACATTTAAACAGGCTTTGAGTTCAGGGTCATACATTTAACCCAGTTATCTTTAAAGTTTTGTTTTTTATCTGAACCTCACATTTTTTCTTCCTCACATACTTTATGTATAACTTTCTCTTTAGGAATTATTAATATGTCCTATGCACTTACTAACTGGCTGTTGAGGTTTTTTTTCTTGAGGATATTTTTTTCATTGATTTTTAGAGAGAGTGAGAGGGAGTGAGGGAAGCTAAAAGGAGAGACAGAGAAATATCGATGTGAGAGAGACACATTGATTGGTTGCCTCTCACACACACCCAGACCAGGGGATCGAACCTGCAATCCAGGTACGTGCCCTTGACTAGGAATCAAACCCAAGACCCTTCGGTGTGCAGGTCAGTACTCTAACCACTGAACACACCGGCCAGGGCTAGCTGTTGAGTTTTGATTGGCTATTTCTCAACATGTTTTCATTGATTTGTCAAAGTTTGTATTGTACTTTGGAGTATATTCAAAGCTAATTTCTAGAACAATGATTTTTGATATTGTCTTGTCTGGGCACTTCCCCCAAAGTGTGTGGTCCCTCCACAGTTGCTTTGAAGGACTTCTGGTTCAGAAGTTCTACTTGAGAAGGGAAGGGCTCTTTCTTTGTAGTATTTTCAAATGATCTCTGTTTACTGTTACTATTACAACTCATCTAAACCTGAACTTTAGCTCTTCAATGGTAATTTTTATTTCTTTCTGTAGATTGTCTACATATGTGTTTGTAAAGACAACAGAACTTTTGTAAAGCAGACAGGGTTTAAAAAGATTTACTTCGTTCATTTTCTCTGTTCTATCAGGAAGAGTATATTAAGGGAAATAGAATTTACACCCACTAGAGGCTTGCATAAAACCTAAATTTTGGGGCGGTTTCCCTAAGGAGTCATAAACCCCTCCCTTATCTCCTTTGGCAGTGAGAGGCTACCTCTTCCATGAGGAAGCCAAAGTATGTGTACCCTATGGCTCTCTGTGGACTCGGGTTTGGAGAGGCTGGCTTCCTGGTTGAGGCATCCACCATAGACCCAACCATGGAGGAAATGGGAATTGCCATGGAATCAACAGTTCTGATCTGTGTTCCCAGTTACGGTAGTTGCTCTCTAGGAGGGGAATTAGTCCAGTGCCATCATCTGTGGGTATTGGCAGAACTGGAATGGGTATGTTTTATTTCTCGAATGTGACTATACATATATCAAAATGCTGGAACTATTGAAAAATGTTTGGAGATTTGTTCTTGGAGATAGCTATCCAGTAACCAGTGGACAGCTAGTCAAGACTTTTGTTAGCTTTTATTATGTAGTCATTTTGCCTTAAGGTAAAAGTTTAAAACAAAGAGAATCAAAGTGAAAACTGAATGTCATATAGAAACATTTTCCTACTTTTATTTTATACAAAAGCACAGTAAGCCTAATGAGCTGCTGTCGTCTGTTCTAGTAGCTGCAAAGCGCTGTTCCGGCAAGGTTAAAGAATTTTCTCTGGTTTTCTTTTCTGCCTCTGACTTTGTTTTGCTTTGCAGGACTACAAAGCTGATGAAGACCCAGCATTATTCCAGTCAGTCAAGACCAAAAGAGGCCCTTTGGGACCCAACTGGAAGGTACTGTATGCTGACCTTTCTGACAGGCAGAGTCTTGGCAACAGAACACTTGACAGGTCTTGAGTCTGGAAGAACTGGTGACGTTTAAGTGAAAAATAGAAATGGCATAAAAATAGTTTTATTTGCGATAAGGACTTACAGCCAGTTGCAGTTGGCCAGCAAGTCTGTGTTGCATTAACAAACAGAACAGAGCCAGACTGTCACTTTCAGCATAATGCTATTCTGATAACTCTTAAAAAGAGACAAGTGATTTAGTCTTTGGGGATTGTACTGTTCTCTTTTGAGACTTGAAGCAGTACAAAAATCCATGTTAAATGAAGGTTTATAGTTTAAATTTTGTCTTAGTAAAAACTGAACAAGCTCCCTTCACCCGAGCTTATGTTCCTGGCCTTTTAATAGTTATATTTTGGAAAGCAGGACACCAGAGAACAATTTCAATGAAGTAGTTGTTTTCTAATAAAGAGCACATCCTTACTTTATTCAGGGAATTAAGAAAAGCACCGTCCAGGTAATCATTTAAATTGCTGTAGAAATATAATGCATTTTAAAGACATTCACTAAACTAAATGACAAACCCTTAATGTGTTGATGGCAAGTTTTTACAGCTAATTTGACAGGAGAAGAGGAGCATAGGAACTTAAACCTGCCCCGAGCAGATTTTCCACCAACAGGATTTTACTTAGTAACGAATCTGTTTATGTTGAAGCCAGTCACAGGTCGTCAGTAAAGGCTGTCGCTAGTTGTTGCTTGCGGGTTAGAGAATTACGGTAACAGCCCCACAAGTAACCCATTGCAGGGTTCTTCATGGGCGTCAGACTCTTTTGTAGACTATCTTGCATGTCAGTTAGAATGAAGAATGAGTCTGATTTTCTTCTATAAGAAATGATTCATAATTATCTTATTTTCACATTTGTTCTCTGGGTAAGTTCAGTTCAAGATTCTCCCAGTTTAATGGCCATGATTAGAGACTTTTAACTTAATGTCCAGTAAGTGATATATGCCACTTACAAATCAAGGAACAAATTCCATATGCAGGATCTAAATTTAAATGGATTTTAAAAAATCCCCGCCCTTAGCCAGATTTCTAGCTGTGGACTTCAGAGGAATCTTAAGAGATTTAACAGTGGCCTTCTAAAAGAGAATGCTGTGCTAGGGCAGCAGGCAAATGGCAACTTCTAAGGTTGCCATATCTTCTAAAAGGCCATCTTGCTCCAATAAGTAAAAACTCTCTAGTTGATAATACTTGCACGAGGAATGAAGGACATGAGATTGAGACTCAGAGGTGCTCAGAGGTGAATTAAATACTGAATTTTCTTCAAATTATCTGTTTTTCAAGTGTAAACTTTGAAAAGGCATTGCTACATTACATGGTGGGCTATTATATTTGGGCTCAAGTGTTGGCTGTAGAAACTCCTAACCAGTTTTATAACAGGCAAAAAAGATAGTTTGACACTATGACTTTTACCTAATTTGCAATCTTTTAGGACTTGGAGTATGATTTTTATTCCTTTTTTATTTACGATTTTTACCTTTTTAACAAACATTGGTTTGTCTTTTTTATCCATTAATGATTATTTAAAATTCTCGAATAGGTTTTTGAAATAATGTGATTTTTACATTGTTTCAGGTTGTGGTATAGCAGTCTTCCCTCCCCCCCCCCCCTTTGTGGGTATGC